GCTAGCGCGCCACCTATGGCACCACCGCCAGCTGCTGCGGGCTGCGCTCAGTGCCTGCTAACAGGCGCAGTGCTGCCCTTCGCCTGATGCTGGCTTCATCGTCATTCTGGTTACAATGCCATGTCAAACGTTCATGCATACGCGTGCTGTCTGCCACAGGTTGCTCAAGGGAGCGTGCGCAGGCTCAGCCCAGTCACCATGGCCTCGCCGTCGGCGAGGCAACAGTTGGTTCGGGAGCTGCCTGAGCTATTTGCGGACAAGGACCCCGCATTTCGGGGTAACGCGGTACTGGAAATCAACCAGCTGCACGACGACGTGGCTGCTGGTCTGTTGGACCTGCCGGTGGAGGACAAGAGGGCAACCATTATGGCAGCAGTCCATCGAGGTGGGCGGGTTGTTTGGCGACGCGGTGCGGCAAATGGGGAGTGTGTGCATGAAATGAGTTGCCGTGATGGTGCTCCGTAGCAATTGGAAGTGGTCGCGGCTTTGGCAGGGGCAGGGACGTGTTGAGCATGCGCCCGGCAGCGATTGGGGTTGTGCTGTCTGTCTTGCGGGGTTCCTGGGGGATGCTGGCGCCAGGGTGCAGCGTGTTGCTGGTTGCTGCACCGAACCTGCACCGTCAGTATCCTCGGCGCTTGGAACACGCATGCGCTCACACGGAAGCCCACGCTGTCAGGTCCTGCAGGGGGCTCAGTGGCATTTGGAGGTGGTTCCAGTGGTGCCGCTGTGGTGCCGAGAGGGTGCCACACACGCGCCTGACAGCCGACACAGCTCTTGTGCCGTTGCTGCCATTCACCTTTTTCCCACGCCACCCTCCTCCACGCATGCTACGCACTACAACCTGCTGGCTCCTTCGCATGGTAACCTTGATCCCGTCACTGCTGTCCCTGCACTGCAGGTGAGGCGTACAGCTTGCAATCCATCACATAGCTTGCTGGCTCTGCTATGCATGCAGCCTGCTTTCCAGGCTGCCCTGTGAAGTGCAGCCTGTGAGTGCGCCTCATTACGCCATGTGAATGCCGGTGCTGACACTGCCCGCACACCTGCTGCTCTGTGTCCCGGCCCGTTCTGTCTTGTTTCTTTCCACCTGCTGGCTTTCCTCACAACTGACGTGCCCCTTTTACTTGCATCTTCCCTTCACTGTCTTCGACTGGGCCTCTGCAATAATTCACAGCAGCAGGTGAGATGCTGCCAAGGGTTTGCGATGTTGTTGGTGGCAAGCCTGCAGACCCTGTGTCCCCACTCGTTGCTTGTGGAGAAGCAGTGATGAAAAAGTTCCATGCAGCAGCAGTCCCAGTTGTCGATAGCAACCGCATGCACCACCATGTGCAAGATGCCAGCTATCAATGGGCCCCTTGTAATTGCGGGGCATTGCATGCATCCAGTCAGCAAGCAAACTAGCCCGTCATTTGCTGATCCTCTTTTGCAACAAGCAGGGGCATGACGCTTCACTGGGGCCAGCTCACAGCAGGCGTGCGGAGAACTGCATATGTAGCATGCTCGGGTCAGCAGGCAGCTCCGCAGCCTCGCATTTGTGCTGCATGCCGCGTGTTGTGCCCACAAGCCTGCTTGACCTTCCGTTTGCGGCCTTCTTTCTACCTCCCATGGCTCCCGTCTGGGCTTCCTCCATCGTTTCACATCAGCAGCAGCAGCAGCAGCAGCAGGTGGGTCACGTGTGGTTTTGCAATGGTGCTTGTGGCAATTCTGCCAACCTTAGTTGCTTGTGGTGCAGCCATGGGCTAATTCCTGGTTGCGGTTCATGCGGGTGGTTTGCACACATGTCGTATGCAGGGCGCTGACAATAGCACACAAGAGCCTCAAAACTCTACCATGGAAATATGCATGACCCATCTGCGGTGCCACGCCCCTGCCGTCGAATGTACCTTGATGGTCCCGCCGCGGGTCTTCCATCATCCCACAGCAGCAACAGGTGACACGCCTCAGATTAGTACTGTGTTGTGGGATGGAAAAGGCTGCTGTGCGATTGGGAAGGCTTCATCAGTTGTGCAATCAGCGGGCAGATGGTAAGCCTGATGACAGCAGCAGGGATCCTACCTCTCGGCACTGTCGCCTCTGTCCTCGGTTTGCAGCCTTTTCTTGACCAACAAGTCCCTCATTGTGACCATCGGGTCGTGCCGATCTGCAGGTCACGTCGAGACGGATGCTTGGCGGGACATGCTGCAGCGGCTCCACAAGTGGTCTGAGGACATGGTGAGCTGATTGCACTGCGGCACTGCCAGGTACGTGCCGCTTGACTTATCTCAAAGCATCTGATAGGCAGGCCGGCATGCTTGGTCATTTTTCCGAGCAGCAGATCCAAGTTCAAGACATGCATGGTTACCGCAACTGCTGGCTATGCTTCTGTGTAGGCGGAGAAGGCCACATGGTACTGGTTGGAGCCACCTGGGCGCCGAAGTGCTGTGAAGAAGGTTACATGACACAAGTCAAGGCTGACCTTGTGCTTCACGGTCTTGGCCACCGGTTGACATCAAAGGCTCACGAGCTACTTGTTGCCAAGTGAGTTGATTCAAGCACAGTTGCCAATGTTGCTGTACGATTCAACCTGTGATGCTGATGCAGGATGCAGCATGGCCAGGGCTGCATGCACTGTAGTACATTGCACATGGACAGTGATCAGCACACGATGGACCATCCACTAGGGCAAGACTGGCACACACACCAAATTGATTCAACTCAAAGTCACTTCAAAGCAGTGTGTGAGAGACAACGGTTCCCTTTGGCAACCTACCTGTCAATGTCATCTGCCACACCTCGGCGGCCTGTTGGCTTCACCCTCACAGGCACTGCGAGTTTTTACCTGATGCTGGCTGTGTGATTGGTGTAGAGCTGAAGAAGAACATCACCCAGGCAAGCCAACGGCAGGGTGAAGCTGAGTTTATCGTGATCGGCCTCAGCTCCAACTTCCCATTTATGCAGCTAGTGACGGACGACATGCAGCGTGGTGAGTTTGCTTACTACAAGCAGGGCGATAGGGATGGCCAGCAAGTTGTGGTGGAGCGTATCCTCCATGGCAAGGGGGCATTTTATGACTTCTTGAAAGCTGCCCTTTCAGAGCTGCCCTCAGTCCTCACCAACGTACTCACACCACCGGACGTCCTGCGGCAGCTGCACAACCCAGACCGCGTCAAGTTGAACGAGCCCCGCACTGCAAGGACGTGCTTCTGTTTTTAGTGATGGTGCTGATTGTGGTGATGATGCCCTGCATGAGTTGAGTGATTGGTTCCTTAACAAGCAGTGGCAACCGGTGAGCTGCCGGACGCCTTGAAGTTCTCTGACCAGGTTGCTGATTTGCAAGGAGTTTGAGGCACGTTGCACTATTTACTTTGCGACAGCCGTATAATGTCGGGCACCAGCATTTCTGATCGCATGTTTGGCTGCAGCTATCAGCGTGCGGCCACGGGGGAGGGGGTATTAGGCAACCTTGACCTTGGCAGCTTGGCTTTGTTATGAGCGACTCTGTTTGCAGCGCGGCTGCGCTGGTGCACGCCAAAGCGCCGCACTCGGCTGCGGCGTGCGGGCGCACGCGACATGCTTAGCTGCGCTAGGTTTGCGCTGCGCCGCTGGCATGTGTGCTTGGCTGCTGTCTCTGTAACTGGCACAGAATGACTTGCCTTTTAAAATGCCTTAAGGATTAGGATTAGGGATTAGGATTGTTACACTTAAGGCGTCTTCAGCTCTTGGGGTGGACCGGGCTGCTAGCTTGATGGGAGGGGGGAAAGGCTGAGAGCAACTGCTAGGAGCAGTTCAACTACTGGTTACACCTATCTCTAGGATGACAAGGCGCACCACTTGGAGACAAGGCATGCAGGCAAGGGCACAAACCGAAATGCCCAGAACAAATCCAGAGCCACACCAGCTGACCCGCCTGCTGCCTGTCTCCTCATGAAACAATCCGCAAATGCTGAATATTCCTAACAACACTCTGCTTCAATCTCGTGGCTCACTGCCGCTCGCCGCACTTCCCCGCTGCTGACCTGCTGCGCCGCCGCTCCACTGCTGCCCCTTTGATCCGCTTGACCCCGCCACACCCAATCCCATCAGACCTCCCTGTAGCATGGCTCCAGCTGCCTTGCTCTTGCAGCACAGCTGCGGCCCTGCTTCTGGGCTCCAAATGGGATGGGATGCGAGCAGAGCATGTCAGTGCAGGGCGGTGCGTTTCCTCTCTATGCACCCCATTCCGCAGCAGAGGCGCTCGGGGACTGGGGGTGTGTGGTCGGGTGGGTGTTACAGAGTCTGGGTCCGTTGCGTATAAAAGTTGAAATCAGTGACAGCTGCTGCTGCTAGGAACCAAGGGGTTGATGTCAGGTGATACCTGGGGCCGCCCTCTGTCCCCTCCAGCTGCGCAGGGGTTTGGTGGGGCTGCCCCCACGCTTGGGGCCTCGGGCTGGTTCCCCCTTTGAACACTACTAGGGTAGATGGTTACTTAGAGGCGGGGCTATTTGCAGAGAGGGCTTTTTTGTCGGTGATGAACTCTCACAGCACAATGCCCTCTTGTTACCAGCAGGCCACATCCAGGAGACATCAACCTGTCATCAGTTGAAGGTGATTGCGCATGGCCTGCAAGACATGCGGCTACAATTTGATGCAAAAATTACAGCAATCTTGCACAGCAGGGATGTTCGGCAGCCTTTCAGGGTCGCCGGGGGCACCATGGCGATGTTCCGAGATCGTGAAAACATCATGCAGGGTTGATGATCGAATTCACGAACGCTATTAGAAGAGCGGAGGCCTGTCATTTCCTAGCGTTGTTCAGGTCACTTTCAAAGGTTTGATCCCAGTGCCCAAAATCAAAAGCACCTGCGAGCTCGCAGCGCTCCGCCAGCAATCCAGCTCGTTATCACAATTGAAGATAGCCGCTCTTTGATACATACAGCGCCAAGCGTCGCGTGCCAAGAAGGCGCACGCGACCATTGAGAGCGTGGGTGGCGAGGTCAGCCTGAGCCAGTGGTGCGCCTCACGACCGCACTGTGTTAGCCACCATGAAAGCGGGCAGCGGCTGTTGCAATCCTGCCCAGCCTACCGACGTTGCAACCGGCGATAACGGCCTGGCCCAGCGCGCCCCGTGCGCGTGCTTTGTCACCGGCGAGGCGTGCGGCTGCGACCAGGTGGCGTTGAGCGGGAAGCCTGGCGCCGCACCCGTCGTGTATGTGTGCGCCTGCGACTGCAGCACATGCGCCTGCAATGACGCCGAGACGCTGCAGCAGGTGAGCAGGGGGCCAGCAACAAGGGTGGAGCTCGGCTGCTGCTTGGTGGTGCAGCTGGGTGGGTGGGTCCAGCAGCAGCAGCAGCAGCGAGGCTGGCCCTCAGCTCCCAGTGCACCACCCTGAACTGCTCTGCGCTGTGTATGGGCAGCCGCATCCGGCTTTTGCCTCAAGCACCTGCACGGATCCCCGCGCGCCTGCCCTCCCCATGCTAGGTACACGAGATTGGCGCCGCCGACGCGGCGATCGGCCCCGGCGGCCTGCTGCTGACGCTCGGCGCGCCGCGCCCCGGCGAGCTCGCCGCGCGCTGGCGCGGCGCCGCGGCCGCGCTGCTGGCGGCCGCGCCCGGCCTGGAGGTCGATGCGGTGCGCCTGCGCGGCGCAGGGGACCAGCTGCAGGTGCTGCTGAGGCAGAGCGCCGCACCGGCTGAGCCGCAGGCGCTCTCGCGACCGCAGCAGCCGAGCCAGCAGCAGCAGCAGCAGCAGCAGCAGCAGCAGCTGCACCCCGCCGCAGCGCTGCTGAGCCGCCTGAGCGACCTCGGCCTGCAGCTGCGGGGCCAGGAGCCGGCGGCGGGCGCGCCCGACTGGCTCGCGCGGCTGTTCGGCGCCGCAGCACCGCCGCCCGGCGTCACGATCCGCCTCGACGCCACCGGCACGCCCCGCGGCGGCGGGCCCAGCGGCGGCGGGCGCGCGCATGACGTCGCGGCGGAGGCCCCTGCGCCATCCAGCGCAGAGGCGTTGCTGCAGGAGCCGCTGCCCTCCGCCCCCGAGGCCGGCCGGCTGGTGGCGTCCATTGGTGGAATGACGTGCTCCATGTGCGCATCGGCTGTTGAGGACGCCGTCCGACAGGTGCGGCTGCACGGGCGTTTGCGTGATCTGGGGTATCGAGCCCTGCCCTCGGAAGCACTTTGTCTAGATGGGTTGGGCCCCTGGGGCTCTGGCGCTGTCCTTTGTTGCAGGGCCCTGCGGCAGCCCTGCAATTGATTCAAAGCGCCTGCAGCGCGCGAAGAGCGCTGAGCCGCTTCAAGGAGCACTCAGCCGCTCGCCTGCCCTCGGCTCGCGTACTACCCACTGCGCAGGTGCCCGGGGTGCTGTCCGTCGTCGTCAACCTCGCGACTAACAGCGCCACGATTACGTACGACCCCGCCGCCACCGGCCCTCGCGCCTGCCTGGAAGCTGTCGAGTCGGCCGGCTTCGACGCGTACCCCGCGCCGGACGGCGACGCCTCCGGCCTCGGCGCCGCCGCCGCGGCCGCCGCGCGCGAGTCGGCGCGCTGGCGGCGGCGCCTGGTGGCGTCCGCGGCGCTGTCGGTGCCGCTGGCGGTGCTGTCCATGCTGGCAATGGCGCCGGCTCTCTCAGAGGTCATGGAGGGTCACCAGGCCATGGGCATGGGCACACAAAGCGGCGGCATCGACGGCAGCGATGGGGGCATGCACGGGATGGCCGGAGACGGCTCGGCCGCCGGCCACCCCAGCCCCGCCCCCGCCCCCGCCAAGAGCCCGGCGGTGCTGGTGGGCAGCCTGCCGATCCTGTGGCTGG